CGATCGCCCCACGGCACGCTTCAAGTTCCTGCAAACCAGCAGTTCTGGGTCCATCGCCCCGTCTTTAGGTAAACAACGCATTACCAATGGAAAATCCACCCAAAAATGAAAGTATATAGCTGGGGAAATCATCTAGAAATGAGGGGTTTTCCATTGCCACGTTTGATTACCGGAGGGTATTTGTGTAAAAACAAATTGAACCTATATCAATTCCTTACGTTCTACATGATCAAATTTTTAAACAACTTACCCTAATCATTTGCACATGAGAATGTTAGGATGGCCCCAAAGACCACATCGTTTGCAAAATCGGCTTCCTGGCCATTTGGGGCTATACACCATTATCAGACACATCCACATCGATGTTCTTACAATTGACAATGTTTCACCAGTAATGGTTGTTTAATAACATTAAGTATAAAGACAACGATGTTGATCGGATCAGTATGAATCATGTGAATTAGGGCGATCATAGTGATCATCCAAACTTGCTGGCTTCCAGCAATGCCGGACCCCTTCACATCACAACAGCGTGGAACATCCCAACGTCTCGTCGCGTCTTTTTGGGTTCTCACCTCGCTCAGCTGTGCCAATCCGCCTGGCCTTCCCTGAGTTTGGGATCCCTGGATGTCGTGCCCAGTGGTGAGACTCAGAATTCATCTCCTTGGCCGTCCATGGTCAAAGATACAACCAATACAACCAAAATAACAAAAAATGCAGCGGTTTTGTGGCAAAAAAATGCTTTCTTCGAGTGATCCCCAGCCTGAAACGCTATCCGGACATAGTTCTGACGATATCTATATCTATATCTATATATATATATATAGTGTATATATATATATATGTGTATATATATATGTATATATATGTCATTTTTCTGACATTCTATCTGACATTCTTTCTGGCACATACTTTGACATTCTATCCGACATTCTATCTGGTATCTATTCTGGCATACTTTCTGGCATATATTCTGACACTCTTTCTGGCATTCTATCTCACACCTATTCTGACATTCTATCTGGCATCTTGTCAAATCTTTTCAGGCATTCATTCTGACATTCTTTCTGGCATTGTATTTGGCATCTATTCTGACATTCCTTCTGGCATTCTATCTGACATTCTCTCTGGCCGTCTGGCTGAGATCCGGCAGTGCCCACTGACACCTGGAGCTCGCGGTTGAGGTCTGGCAGTGCCCATTGACATCTGGAGCTCGCGGTTGAGGTCCAGCAGTGCCCACTGAAATCCGGAACTCGCAATTGCCAGAGGAGGAGAAGAAGAAGAAGGAGGAGAAAGCAACTCTGATAAAATCTAATGACCCGGTGGGGAAAAATGTTTTCTTTAGATGTTCACCTTACAAAGCAAATGGTAGACTGGCAAAATTGTGAAATCAATTGTTGTTTATCATTGGACTTGCACAATCAACAAAAATAAGCAGATTTTAACAGGACATAATAATAGTAATAGTATTTGTTTCGCATGCAACACTTGCAGTTATAGTCCATTTGGACCATGTCACACCAAGCAAACATGGGGGAAATTAAAGGATGCCAAGTCTCCGTAGCCTTCTTCCTCACCTTCACCCTCAGCAAGAAGGCGTCACCAGTTGTCATCCAAATTGACCGGGAAACCAATGGTTTAACCAATGGTTTCCAACATGCTTCCCTCACACAACCCGACTGGGAAACCAATCCTCTCTAAATTGCATGATGATGAACAAAAGAGAAATTTGAAACCAAACTGAAACAGCAAACAAACTGCGAATACCGGCGAGTCACCATGGCTTCAAAAAAACGACTCGAAAGGCACAAAAAATGCAACACTGTCTGTGTGGTGACTTTGCGCCTCGGCCGTTTCAATGCCCACTTCCTCGTAGTCTTTCCTTGTCCGGTGAAAAGACGGATGAACATGGCACAAAAAGAGAAGGCGATAGCCTGGATCATCCATATCTCGTTTCATGTCTGTTACATTCACATACATTTACCAATCTTTTACCCACATGTTTTGCCCGTTTCTCCTGACAAATGTTCAGTGCTATCTCATAGTCGTCACCACCAAAATTGCTGTCGTCATTATGACCACCACCATCATGGTCATCATCATTCCCCTCGTCAACAACCACAGGCACAACCACAAACACACAAGCAGCCTCCCAAAATGGCAGTAGAAGAATTGCTTGGAAGATCACCCCACGAATCGCGAGTGATCAAATAAGTGGGGCTACAACCAAGTTGTAAACGGGATAGGCCAGTTAATTAGGGGACCTCCTAGCCAGGGTTGTTAAGAGGTTACTAAGCGGGATTATCGTACGCCACGCCGAGCATCTCCAGGGCTGCCAAGTCCTCACGTGCCTCAGAGAACTCGCCCTCCTCCATGCCCTCGCCCACGTAGTGGTGGACAAAGGCACGTTTCGAATACCTCGCACGTATAACTATTTGCATATATGTATATGTATGTATATATATATATAGGTTCGGTCGAGGTAAAGATATATATATATATATACATATGTATGTGTAAATATATATATATATATGTATATGTATATATATATATAGGTTCGGTCGAGGTAAAGATATATATTTTATATATACATATATATGTATGTGTATATATATATATATATGTATGCATATATATGTGTATTTATATATATATATATAGGTTCGGTCGAGGTAAAGATATATACATACATATATATATATATGTATGTGTATATATATATGTATGCATATATATGTGTATATATATGTAAATGTATATGTATATATGTGTATGTGTATATATATAAATAGGGGAGAGGCTTGAGGTTCCCCGGAGCACGGAGGAACCTTGAGTCTCTCTCTGCTAGGTTTCAGCATACAGATGAGGGGGATGTTAACAGTCATTGCATTGCGTCATCAGCAGATGTTGTTACGCTAATCTTCGTTGTTGCAAACAGGTGGGGGATGGGGTGGGGGGGATGTGAATGTTCATTGCATTGCGTCATGAGAAGATCTTGTCTTGTTACGTTAATCTTCGTTGCTGCATACAGATGGGGGGGTGGGGGGGTGGTGGGGGGGATGTTAACCTTCATTGCATTGCGTCATCAGAAGATGTTGTTACATTGCAGATGTTGTTGCGTTGAAGATGTTGTTACGTTGAAGATGCTGTTACGCTGAAGATGTTGTTACGTTGAAGATGTTGGCTGTTACGTTGAAGATGTTGTTAGATACAAATGCTTTAAACACGGCTTTGTGGATGTGAAGAGAAAAAAGCCTCATGCATTTCGCCCATGGTTCTCTGGGGAATCGTGACATTTTTATGTCAATGAAAAGAAACCTGAAATTCCAAAAAAAAAACTCAATTCCTATGGAATCTACAAAATATCATACAATGAAGAACTTTAACAAGATTTTAAAAAACAATCAAACAGCGGACAACATATCCCAGATATGTTGTCCGCATGTTGAACTGATTCCTTCTGCTCTCAAATTATGGGAAGAACACAAAACACTGTAAAACACTGTGAAAAATGACATGTTTCAAAGTTGACAACAATGAACTTCAATTGCCTTCCGGGGAACCTCAGGCCTCTACCCTTTATATGTATATATGTATATATGTATATATGTATATATGTATACATGTATACATGTATACATGTATATATGTATACGGCAAATGCCTGGGCTTTGCCCGGACCCGCAATGACAACAGGCGACGCATCATCATCATCATCATCATCAACATCAACATCATCATCAGAATTAAACCCTTAGTGAAGATCTTCAATGAATGTAGAAGTTTAACGGTGGTGGGAGAATTAAACCCTTATTGAAGATCTTCAATGAATGTAGAAGTTTAACGGGGGTGGGAGAATTAACCCTTATTGAAGATCTTCAATGAATGTAGAAGTTTAACGGAGGTGGGAGAAGTAAACCCTTATTGAAGATCTTCAATGAATGTAGAAGTTTGACGGGGGTGGGAGAATTAATCCCATGTTGAAGATCTTCAATGAATGTAAAGTTTAACGGGGGTGGGAGTTTAATATTACCTAGTACCTTCGATGATCTTCCCAATTGAATGTAAAGCTTAACGGGGGTGAGAGTTTAATATTCCCTAGTACCTTTGTTGTTTTTCCTATAGGAATTTAAGGTTTAACGGGGGTGGGAGTTTAATATTCCCTAGTACCTTTGTTGTTTTTCCCATAGGAATTTAAGGTTTAACGGGGATGGGAGTTAATATTCCCTAGTACCTTTGTTGATCTTCCCAATTGAATGTAAAGTTTAACGGGGGTGGGAGTTTAATATTACCTAGTACCCTTGTTTTTTTCCCATAGGAATTTAAGGTTTAACGGGGGTGGGAGTTTAATATTCCCTGGTACCTTTGCTGTTTTTCCCAAAGGAATTTTGTGAAGTTGCATCAACATTTGTTTTGGAATGGGAAACCTCTACGCTGCAACAACTGGGCGAAGCGGTTTCAACAAATCTGGGGTTTCAACATATATATATATAATCTGGGGTGCCGCGGTTTCAACAAATCACTCGCCAGTGGGTGACTGGCTATATACTCCAAAGATCTCCAAAGCAATGTGGTATAAAGTGGCTTCCGCTGCGCTTACCCGCCTGAGGGTTTTGCGAACAAATATGGCGTTCGCCCATGCCCACATATTTAGCTGGCTACAAATCCTCCCCAAAATCCCTTACTTGATCGTCGGATCAAAGAGCCTCCATTTTGGATCTCAAATAACACCATCTTGCTTCTATCTGCTTTTTTAGCCATCTATTTCGCAGCTCTCCCGTAGTTTTTTTTCCGTGGATCAACCTTTAGTCTTGGTTAGTTTCATGTCCGCTTTCATTGGTCCAAATGTGCAGAGTTTGTTTGAAATCCTCTATAACTCTATATAACCGTTGGTGAAGTAACCACTATATTTCAAATCAACGGTGTTTTGGTCGCAACATAGAAAATTCAAGCATGGCGTACCTCAGATTCTGCACTGACTCTGCCAAACAAATGCCTTAGACTCTGTAAAACAAACGTTTTTTGGCCAGAAATAAGGCAATTTCATGCAATTTCTCCATCTCCATGTCTGGCATTGATCGACCCATCAACCCTCTTCCCTCAGGACGTTCGATTTTGCCCAGTGGCATGAGGTCAAACTTGTGATCGATACGCGAGAAGACTTCTGCAATGGCCTAAGTTGGAAGAGTTCGTCACAAAGACTTGGGGATCTACCTTGATATAACGGCGCTTTTTGGAATAGCCCCCAAAATATGGGTATACGGTATAATGATACAATCTGTAATTCTGATGGGTGATACCAATACTCCCACAATGGCAGCTCTAATCAAGAATGTGAGGTTTTCACGATTTTCACCCATCAAAAATTGGGAGCAGATCCAAATGATAAAAATGCTGAAATACCCTCATGTAACGAACACTTGGTTGATTTTGACATTTTGTTTACAGGAAATGAATTTTTTGCCTTTGTTTTTAGCGATGCACGAAAAGATTGACTAGGCTGCAGGACATGGTCTCCCTACACCAAGGCAACAAACGGAGGGGCAAAAAACCGTGCATAAGCGAAGTAAGTTGACCATGCTTATAGCGACAATATTTCGTGTTTTTGTTCTAAGTCCTGACAAATCCTGTGTTTTTCTGCCAGCACTGGAATAAGATCATGCTCAGATATATTCAAACCATATGGGTTTGTCGGGAAGTAGGGTGCCCCTAAATAGTCAATCATAGTCAATCATCGCTTTTCCCATAAAAAGAATATTAAAACGGCAATTTTGATCCATGTTGGGGAGATGACCCCATTTTCAGACACCCAACCATCATATCAAGTAATATCAAGTAGTTACATCCCCATGATATCCCTATCTTTGCTGGTGAATTTCCTGCTTTTCATTCACTTCAAGCGCTCAGAAACCACCGTGATTGGTGTGATTGCTGCGAAGTGACGGTGGAGTTGGAAATCATACAGCAGGCACGCATGACCTTGGCCAAATCACCTCCCGGCACCACCTGGCGAAGGCGATCCAGCAACGGAGATCCCCCATTCATTGTGCCAAAAAAACGGATGAAATATGTTAGGAAGAAATCCTCCCAAAAGAAAATTACTGGTCAGAAATTCTGTCAAACATACAAGTTGAGGCACTGTAGGTGGTTGATAGTTGATGCCACACTTGAAGCCAGTGGGGCACCAATCCACGAATTGGATGGTGCGCTTGGTCTTGATGGTTGCCACTGCTGCGTTCACATCCTTTGGCACCACGTCTCCTCGGCCGCGAATGAAAGGAGAGTTGTTTATCGATCAACGAAAGTCGAAACGTTGGCTGATTGAGTTCATCCAATATACAAGTGGAAACACTGGTTTCCTTGGTTGGTGTTGAAAAAACTTTGGGATTTAACATGAGCTGACATCTTGAGGAAAAAACAGTGGGTGTTTTCCGCAAATGGAGGGTTTGACCAGCAACAAATCAGGAATTAAATGTCAAAAACTGAACGTACCCTAATTATTCAAGGGGTTGGCCAGGCATATGAAATGATTTACCCCAATTTCTGGCTATTTGAATGCGGAAAATGATTCTCGAATCCACGCAATATCCCATGGTATCCCCCCATTTTGGATCAACCCGCGATGGTCCGGCCCAGTTTCCACGATACATCATGCAGCAGGCCATGTATTTGCCGTGACGAGGATCACATTTCACCATCATCGAGGCTGGTTCGAAAACGGACATGGTGATCTCTGCCACCGACAACTGTTCATGATAGGCCTTCTCCGCCGAAATGACCGGCGCATAAGAGGTCAACATGAAATGAATGCGAGGGTACGGGACCAAATTGGTCTGGAATCTTGGATGCGTCGCAGTCACAAGGGCGCACAAAAAATATACAAGTACAGTGAAATATATATTATTGGCAATTATTGAGGGGACAAAAATATGAGATGTGTGTATCTCAGAATTATTGAAGGGAAAAAATAAGATTATACATATGATATGTGCATCTCAGAAACTCGGTGATGTCGACATTCAGTGCACCATCGAAACCTGGTCGTTTGATGTATGTGTCCGTAAAGCGGAATTTTTGAATTCATCCGTTCCCCGTAAAACCCTACTTTAAGCGTTGATCTGTTCGGTTTGGGGTCAATATGGGAGGCATTTAATAGGGGGATGGAATTAATTCAAAAACACCAGTCAAACCCATTTCCACGCAGGATGCTGTGACCGAGTTGCGAAGGGAGGCGGTCAAACTCGAGATGATCTGAGCAATCAGCCGGTTCAAATTGGTGTAGGTTGGGCGTTCAATGTCCAAGTTCCTTCGGCAAATATCATAGAGAGCTTCGTTGTCATACATGATCGTCACATCCGTGTGCTCAAGCAAGGAGTGCACGCACAGCACCTTTATCTGCAATTCGGTGAACCCACAACGGCCCACAAGTTGTTTCTCGCCTAACGACGCAATCAAAAACTAAACTTTAAAATTACAGCAGCAGCAGCAACAACAACAAAAAAAAACAACAACAACAACAACCAACAACCAACAACCAACAACCAACAACCAACAACCAACAACCAACAACCAACAACCACCACCACCACCACCAACAACAACAACAACAAGAGTTGACCACCCAGTGGCAGTGTTATAGGGTTCGACCACAGCGGTTGCGACTTGAGGGCAACACCACACTGTGAAGGAGATCTTGCTTTTCTTCCCATAATCCACCGAAAGACGCTCTAACATCAGGCAACCAAGGCCGGATCCAGTGCCACCACCGCAGGCATTGTAAACACAGAATCCTTGCAATCCTGAACCAATTGTTGCGCTACAAGAACAAAGAACATGGGGTACGAGTACCAAAGCAGATGCTAACATAACACGCCTTGGCTTTTCATTGGCGAAACAAAAATGTGAACAATGCTATCCTATCCATGGTGCCTGTGCAATTGTCTGCGAGCTTTCGAATTCTGTCCAACACCAAATCCACAATTTCCTTGCCGATGGTGTAATGCCCACGCGCAAAATTATTTGCCGCGTCTTCCTTGCCACTGATCAGCTGCTCCGGATGAAAGAGCTGACGGTAGGTGCCCGTGCGCACCTCGTCCACAACAGTCGGCTCCTCAGCAACGATTTCTTCATGCTGAGCAGCGATTTTTCACAAAATTTCATGGTGCTGGTCAACTGTGAGGCCGATAGAAATATTACAGTAACGCAAATGAAGTCAACATTCACGGTGCCTTTTGCGGTGATGACGATGACAATGACAATGACAAATGAGGGTGGTGACGCTGAGCCCATGGTTTATGATGAAGGTCATTGTAAGACTTAGACGTCCAACTCCTGCGCCCTTCCAACTGCATCATGGCGCGGGGTTTGTTTGTGCGCTCAAGGGACCTGTGTTGAGACCAGGTACGGAACCAGGCACCATCTAATGAGAGGCAGTGTCAATGAGCAAATTGCAATAAGCTGGCGTACGTGCTGTAGCACCCCCTCTCGAATCAGCACGTGAGCCAGGGGGCACATCGTGCAATCGACGGGGCGTTCCTACCTCGTTCTCCAAAATTCTCATACTGTTTTGGGTGCCTGACTGCGTTCACTCACACCGCACCTGTTTTCAATATCAACATGCCATACATGAAATGCCTACATATGCTACCTCCTTCTCGGGGTACTCCCACCTCGTTTAACATCCTTTTCCACAAACCAGGGTGAGTTTCAACTCTTCACTTCACCCAAACAATCTTATAGGCGGAAAGGCGGAGCATGCACATCTCTTGCTAAACCCTGAGATCGAGAACAATACGTGAAAGCAAATCTAGATGTTCAAGCAACCAGCATGCACGCAGCGAATTGCAATCTGATAATCTGCATCTTGCTACCTGCGGCTCCTGTGAAAGCAGCAAAGCTATGATACATGACCTTAATCTCTCACAGGGGCCGACGCGACGACATGCAGATCCGAGTCAGGTCGGCACTACGGGCTTGCGTTGCTGCCTATTGCGCAGACCCATTTTTTTAATTTCCTACGGTTCCTCATATTTTCTACTGCTCCCCTCTTTCCTGATACGTTTTTCGGTTTTTTTTGTCCTGCTATCTTGGTTGAAAACCAGATCATCCAGCAGAAACCATCGAAAAGGAACCACTGGGGAGGGGGCCGGAGGAGGGATAGGAGTGTGGCCTTACCATTTTTTTCATTTTGTCATTAATTAGCTGTGATTTGTTTTCCCCACCTATTGCTTTGTGTGTATGTGTTTTGTATTGTTGTATTGTTGGCGCGCAACCGTATATCTGATGACATACTTGCGAATGTCATCTGACTGACAGATGTCATAAGCTGTCCTGCTGCACTTTTCATTGCCAATGTTCTTATCTGTTTTGGTGTTTTGTCAAACGGTCTGGAGATCGCATGTCAAGAGCTAAAACGTTTCGGAGGGCGGGCGTCACACAAACCTTTTGAACAAATAGGGGAGAAGTGCGCTTGGCACATGGGCAAATGTGATTTTTACGATACTACGTTTCACTACACTCATGACATGCGAGTGTAGTATAATATCCGTTACAAACCCCTGCTGACTATTGCAACCGAACTCGGTTGGAAAACCTGGTAACATTCGCAAGAGCACCGTGCACGAGCAAACATTAGCAAACTCGTGAACATGCCGATGCGCTGTACTTCTAGAAACAGCTATGGCGGTGATGATCACGGCGGTGACGATGATGATGATGATGATGATGATGATGATGATGATGGTGGTGGTGGTGGTGGTGGTGGTGGTGATGGTAATGAAGGTGATGAAGGTGATGGTGACGATGATGGTGATGACAACTATGATGAAGATGATGATGATGATGATGACGCTGACTCTGATGGTGATGATGATGATGATGATGATGATGATGATGATGATGATGCTGATGATGGTGATGATGATGATGATGATGATGACGATGATGATGATGATGATGATGATGATGATGATGATGGTGGTGGTGGTGGTGGCAGTGGTGATGACAATGATATTCCTTCATGGTCATAGTCATGGTGTTGCTCGTGGCTGTGGTCTGACTATGTTTTACAGGCACAAAACATGTTTCTGCATTCCCACATGTTGCCACATGTGCAAGCCAAAGTTCCAAGTCGACCATCACACAGCGAGGCACGTGTTTTCCTGCTCCAGTTTCTGAGAAGAACCTGAAAAGATAGGTAGGCGCGTTCCCGAGAAAATCATCTGTGTGAAAAGGGATGTGTTGGGGTGAGGGTGTGTAGGAGGTTCTTGGCGCATGCCCTACACACTTTGTTCCAATCACCAACATAACCAGGCAAGCAGCTGGTAGCGATGTAGTGGGGACGACGTCTCAAAAGAACTGCTTGGCGGCTATGTTTGACAACCCGTCCCATACATATTTGCTCCGTAACACCCCAATCTTGAACAATCTTGAAAGGTTACATCTAGAAGTTTTTGTGGCCACTTTTGCCTGACTTGCGGGGAGTTCTCCCTCGTTGACACCCACATGTCCGGAGAATCTTCATTTTCTCGTCAGATCTCCCATCTACTTTCCCACCTTTTGAGCAGGACTCCCATCTTTGTTGGGTCCAATGTTGCATCAACTCTCATGAGCGGAGCTTCTTGAACCAATACTGGGGGACAATGGGGGAGATTTACCTTTTGGGACCAGTAATCCACCGGTCAATCATCATACTAAAATCCGCCCGCACCGAAGGTGCTGGGGCGTGATCGTCCGGATGGCACTCGTAAAAGGTTACAGGTTTACCTGGGGGGGGGGCATTTTTCGGCCAAAACCTCCTGTTTTTGATAGGTCGTGACGCTCGCCTTCAAAAAACACTGTAAAAAACAGTACGGAAGACACCTGTTCGTGAACGCGCCCGTCCAAAATCGGCAAGCGAAAAGTGAAAAAACCCGTGTTTTTCAACTTTTTGACCTCAATTTTTTGGTTTGCAACATCTTTTTTTGCGGTTCCGCAGGTGGCCTGGCCCGGAGGCGGATTTTTGAGTTTTTGGACCCGTTTTCGGACTGATTTTCGTCGTTTTGTGATAGCAGAAACACTGGTTTTTACAGTGTTTTTCTGTTTTCTGCATGCTTGACGGCTAGCTTCAAAATTTCCAAAAACCTCGTAAATTACGCTGTTTTATGTTACGGTGTGAATGAAAACATCGTAAATACCAGTGTTTTTTGACGTTGGTTAAAAAACACTGTAAATTACAGTGTTTTTGGCCACCTGACCCTCAAAAACCATGGTATTTGCAGTGGTTTCTGCTTCTCACCGCGCAAAAACACTGTAAATAACAGCAATTTCGCCGTTTTTTCATGTTTTTCGTTATTTTTTGAATTGCGTTGGTCCGCTATACATGGCTATCAAATTCTTCGCGTTTTTTTTTCCGACAATCAGTACTTTCGGATGTTTTTGGTCTCAATGGCCGACATCATTGGCAGTTACGAGCGGTCGCGAAGGTGTGAGAACAACATCGTTCAAACCGTGGCGGCCGCACAGGGGGTCTTGTCGCGGAGCGACGGCAATAGAAGAGAACAATGGCAGTAGAAGAGAACAATGGCTGACATCATTAACAGTGTGGACCGTTCACTCGATATGTACATATATGATCTTTATATATATATATAGATATAGATATAGATATATCTCTCTATCTATCTATCTGCTGTGTGAGCCCAACGATGCGGTGCGGGCGGTTGCCGTCGCGAAGCGACGTGAATATTCCCAAGAATCTGCCCCGAATTCAGATCCACTCAGGTGGATATGGGTCAAACGTGGGCAGACCCAAACGGGATGGTACGGTGTATGCATATATATTACTACCAAAAACTTAATTAATATCTGTAATATCCGTGAGTCCAGGTTCTTTGCTATTGATAGTTTTGATCCTTACACAGATGTTTTTGACCCATCTCCCACTGGGACCCACCTGGCTGAAATTATGAGAATTCACCTACCTTGCAGGTCATGTGCTGATACTTGACCTTGGGGGGAATCCAGTGTTTGTGTTTTTCGCGGTGGCGACATGGCGAAAGGCCCTCTTGGAACCTGCGCCGTTTCTTCGCCTTGCTTGCTTTCTAATAGCTGTCCGTTGGCTGGCAAGTGCTAATTCCTGAGAAATGCAAATACAACCTTGGCAGTGCAACTCCTATCGTACATCAATCAAGTAGCATCGCGCGTATGTGAACGCTCGCATGAACGTTATCATCCCACCCCACCCCAGCATCTTCAATGTAATAGCATGTAATAGCAACATCTGCGTAAACCTCAATCAAGTAGCGTCAAGTGCGAGTTGACATGAACACTCACATGCCATCCAACCCTGGCACAGCATCTGCAATGCAATATCAACATCTATGCCAACATCAGTCAAGCAGCCAAGCATCTTCAACCACCCAGCGATCCAAGGAGGCAACTTGCTGCGACAAAGCACCAAAGAACAATTATCCCGGCAAGAGACCCCAAACAGTGTTGCAAGGAACATAAAGAAGAGATTCCAAGTTAGATTCTGCAAGCTCCTTTGCGAAGATCTCTGTAGAAGATGGTGTGCCAGATCTCCTTGACAGAATCTCTGTACACTGTAGAAGCTGCTGTGCAAGATCCCTTTGTAAAGCTATCTTACAAGGTGTCTATAAGAGATGTCCACAGGAAGTCTTCGTGAGAGATCCCAAAGGTAATAAGATCTCTCTGCTCAAGTTCTCTATAAGAGAGCTCTGAGCAAGATCTCTGTTTTCTTCACCAGGTCTCTGCATAAGATCTTTACAAGGGGTCTCTTGGCAAGATCTCTGTACAAGCTCTCGAAAAAACATCTCCCGGCAAGATCTCTGCAAGATCTCTGTACAAAATCTCTACAAGAGGTCTGCAAGATTTGTGAAAAGTTCCTATAAGAGGTCTCTTGGCAAGATCTCTGTGCAAACTCCCTAAAGTCTTCGCAAGATCTCTTTATGAGATCTCTGTAGAAGCTCTCCAAAAGAGCTCTCTTGGCAAGATCTCTGTACGAGACGAGACCTCTTTGCAAGATCTCTGTAACAGACAGTACAAGATCTCTATAAGGGGTCTGTGTACAAGATCTTTATAAGACGTCTCCGTGGCACAAGATCTCCTTGACAAGTATATAGCAAAATCAGCACAGCGCCGCAACGAGAGCGATCTGGCACGCCCAAAGTGCCAAGAAAGTTGCGCACCGCGCCACAACGAAGCGATCTGACAGGCCCAAAGTGACGAGAGGGTTGCGCGAGCGATGGCAAAATTCGATAAATTCGCACCGCGCCACCACGAGAGCGATCTGAGAGGCCCAAAGTGGCAAGAGTGTTGCGCGAGCGATCGCAAAATTCGCACCGCGCCACAACGAGAGCGATCTCAGAGGCCCAAATTCAAAGTGACAAGAAGGTTGCGGGAGCGATCGCATTGCACCGCACCACCACGAGAGCGATCTGAGAGGCCCAAAGTGACGAGTGTGTTGCGCGAGCGATGGCAAAATTCGATAAATTCGCACCGCGCCACCACGAGAGCGATCTGAGAGGCCCAAAGTGGCAAGAGTGTTGCGCGAGCGAACGCAAAATTCGCACCGCTTCACAACGAGAGCGATCTCAGAGGCTCAAATTCAAAGTGACGAGAAGGTTGCGGGAGCGATCGCATTGCACCGCGCCACCACGAGAGCGATCTGAGAGGCCCAAAGTGACGAGAGTGTTGCGCGAGCGATCGCAAAATTTGCACCACGCCACGAAGAGAGCGATCTGGGAGGCCCAAGGTGACGAGAGGGTTGCGCGAGAGGTCTCCGAGCCACCGTTTCGTGCGAGACTTCCGTCAAAAACGGAAGATGAGGGAGCTCTTGTGCTGTAAAGGTCACCGAATTGTCCATTCTTCCGTCAAAAACGGAAGATGAAGGAGCGTTTGTGCATCAAAAACGACGCACACGTATGATACCACCTCGAATGAAGACCAGGCCTTAACTCTTATTGTAAGAACCCCAAGTGTGGCCACACTGTTTTGGGAAAAAAACTTTACTTTGTGCCATTCCCACTGCAATACATCTATCTCACATCTTATCTGGAATATGCTGACGATCGGACATCTTCTCCAACATTCTATCTGGCATTCTATCTGGCATTCTATCTGGCATGAGGTTCGGGTCCAGCACACCCCAGAGAGCTGGCAAGCTCGCCATGGTGTGTCTGTGTGTGTGTGAATGGGGAGCGTACCTGTACCTGTGCATGTTTGTGTGCCTGTACCTGGCGGAGCGCTTTGTTAAAATCTAGAGACCCTCACCTGGCAGGGGGAACAAAGAATTCTACACGGCTAAATATCAGCACACCTCCTGAAATAAGGCCGGTTTTGGAGAGTTACTCTTGCCATCTTCCATGGTGAGCCCCCTGAAAGAGTACGCCAAGGAACGTGTTGAACGCATCATCGCCCCCACCTGAAGGATTCGCCACATGAACGGCGCTGCTTTACCACAGAATCGGGGAACCATGGAACAACATCCAGGTGCGAAGCGGGAAATAAGCCGTAGACATGCAACTTTGACCCAAAAAACTAGCACTTAAGACTTAAGCAGCAACACATGAATTTTGACCAGGAACCTTGTGAAAATTTGAAATGAACCAGATTGAACCAGCAACACATGGCTGCACGTGGATTTGTTTTGCAAACAAAAATTTGGGGCGACACCTGGAAAATGAATGAACACCGGGAAACAAAACTACACTACAACTTGGTTTGGGGGGATTTTAATCATTCAGATCTAATCTAGGCCAGTTTGTGATTGCCATTGCTTGGCTGATTTCATGGTCATTCAACAGGATTGCTTGTATCTTTTTCTAATCACATCACCGGTTGAGGGGATCCATCACCGGTACCCAGGAGCATCAAGCATCGCTGCGGCTATTCGGCTTCGCTCAACAAATTACCCAGAGGGTACATATTGTTCCACCATGTTCCATTCAATCAAGACCCCCCAAAAAAATCCCTCTGTCGACTCTGTTGATATGGTATATATTAAGGCCCATATATGGCCCATATATGGCCCATATATGGCCCATATATGGCCCATATATGGCCCATGTATGGCCCATATATGGCCCATGTATGGCGAAAATCCATGAAAATCCTCATCCCAGGGACCGATGGTCTTGTCGGAAGGCATCTGGCCATCTGGCTGAATGCCGTGCTCCAAACAGAAGAGCTCCCAGCACCTGGGCGCTAGCGGTCATTGCGATGCCCATCATGGGAGGCAAATCGTTTAAAGGAAACGGGATTTTCATTGTTTAGCAGTGTTTATAATGGTGTAATGTTCATTGTTTATCATTGTTTATCATTGTTTATCATTGAAGGTATCGGCTCAAACCGCCACTTTTTGAGGTAGTTTTGCGCTTTACCTTAGCGGGGATAATCCGATCTCTTCCCCGCGGGTTTCCATCAGCCATTGGTGCCGGCTTTTGGACTACCTTGTGAACTTGGACAAGGATTGAGGATTTGGACCTCTTCTGACTGACCTTTCATTCACTAAATTCAATTTCACATTTGCATTAGCTGTCTCGTCGTGGACCTCTTGCACTTGTATTACATTGACATTTCGATTCACTATTACAATTTCTGGCGCTGCAGGGCCGACTACTGTTTTTGTGCTATTGATTAGCACTTATCAGCTAGCTGGTGGCGGTTGTTCAGTTTTTAATTTGTTCTTCCAATTCAATTTCCTTCTCTGTCTGCATTAGCTGTCCGGTGACCTCTTGCATTCATTGATTGCTTATTTGTGAAATTTTTGCTCGCTGGCACTGCGGGGGCCGACCACCGTCTGCGTGTATATTGATTTATCTATACACTTTTGACAGGGCTGATCCTACAGTTTGCACAGCTGGTAATTGGGTTCGTGAATGTGCTCATTTCTACTTCTGTTCCTTATTTTGATCGTGGCATTTACAAATTTACAAGATTTCGCTCAAGCAACAATCGGGAACGTTGAGACGCAGGGATCGGCGTCGAAGAGCTTCGGCAAGAAGACAGTGGTTCTTGCACAGGACTGGCAAAGTATCTTTGACAGTAGCATCATTGATCCGTGTCAGGCATCTGGTTTCCAAGCATCACTCCAAAGATTCAATTTTTTTGAGCAGAATTTCTCGAGAGATTCAAGTGAGAATGTCAGGGGAAGAGGCATATCCTTGGGTTTGTCCTTGTGGCAGACTCAACAAGAAAAATGCAAACCAATGTGCACTTTGTTGGGGTCATTGGTCGAAAGGCACCAAACACGATGTCACTCCCAAAGTGAAGACATATGGAGATGCTGCTCGTTGGAACAGCAGCTGGGATGGATGGGAACAAAATTGGGAAAGCTGGGAGCAAGATTGGGACGATTCAGAAAGTGTGGGTCGGTCCTCGAACTCACCAAGAGGACGCCAAATCCAGCAGATCGAGTACTCCCCCAGGAGCAGACCCAAAGGGAAGGGCAAGACAAAGGGAAAAGGCAAAGGGAAAATGAAAAGCGAGGCAACCGCCAGTCCGTTCGGAGCGGGAAAAGGTGGGCCCGCGCCTTTGCCTGCCTGGCCTGCCTGGAACAATCCAGAATTGGGAACATCTCCATTCCAGACTGCTCAGTCCAGCAAGAGCAACACCATGCAGGAAATGGCTACGCATTTGCGACTGGCATTCAAAGATCAAGAGGCTCCTGCAGATGTGCAGGCGTTCTTGGAGAAAGCAGAGAAAGAATACAGCCGCAACAATATCAAATCCTTGCAGACTGCAACGAAGAGCCTGGACCATGCGCAAAAAGCATTGAGGGATGCCGTCAACGCGAAGAAAGACCATCGTCTTCAATGGACAAAGCATGTGAGCGAAGGCATCAAGATTTGGGAGGCTCAGTTGGACAGTTACAGAGTCCATCAAGCTACCCTGTCCGAACTTGCAGCCAAAGCAAGGGCAGAAATAGACACCTCAAGACGAGTCTTGAAGGAAGTCAGCGAGAACACCGTGAAAGAGGGAAATCTCTCTATCCCTCAACCGATCCAGGAAGAAACCGAAGATGCTACAACGGACAACATCGTCGATGTGGAGGAGCAAAAGCTGCGAGATCAACTGCAAGGAGTGCTCAATGCATGTGCAGGATCTTTGGGCATTCAAGTTGCTGCAGCCGAACAACAAGTTCAAGAGGTGTCGGACGACGACAAAGATCAGGGTCCACACAACAAAAGACCTCGGTCAGTGGAGCCAGCGAAGCCTGCGTCCACTTTATCGAGACAGTGAAGTGCGGCCGTGAGTTTTCAGTTTTGAAAAATGGAGCTCATGAGGCCAGACCGCACATGTTTCCAACTTGCCATTCGGTGACGGGGGAAAGGAACTATTTAAGTCCTATTGCTGCCGTTTGGGATGCTTGGAGACTTCGTGGAGAGATTATCTCTCAAAGTTTTGATGACTGTTCAGACCATTCCATTTCGCATCATTGCGTTCCTTACTTGCAGGGTATGTCCCTCAAATCAGTGCTTTGCATTTCTCAGGAACCTCGAAATGTTCGTCGCAGGAAGCGTGTCCATTTTGATGATTGTATTGAAGTTGCAATGAGTACTGAGGATGACTGCCTGTTATACAGTACTGTTGTCCAGCATGGTGCCTTATGTGATTGGTCTGACAAACCATGGCGTTACAGTCCGAAACCACCAAGCCGTCGGTTCTCTTGGAGGAAAATCACAGACCTTACATATCCGTTCTGCAATTTTGCTGACATTCATGATCGAAAAGCTGACAGTGATGTTGTGCATGATGACTCTCCTCACAGTACTCTGTCAGCAGTTATCAGCGTGCCACATGATGATTCCTTGCTTGCCTCCCCATTTAGGGACAAGATCAAGGATCGTGGACGTTGTGCTCACAATGAATGCAGACCAGAGATGTGTTTTTCAGTCCTGCGGGATATTACCAACCAGAACTTATGTGATCTCATGCACACTGAAGGGCTGCAGGTTGCTCCGCTGTCTACCAAGGCCGTGTTGAGCTCGCTCCCTTCACAAAGCAGTTCGATCTCTAGAGTGACGTCTCAGGAGAATCATGTTCCGAATGCTGCATTGAGAGAAAATGACAACATTGACGAGTTATCGATTGTTCAAATTGGATCAGTCACTCCATATGCTTTCAAGAACTCGCCCATTGAGATGCAACAAGCTTTTCAGATGCATGGTATGCCTGGGGACCATGTGCATCATATGGAAGGTGTTGATGAATGGCATGAAGAGTATGACGAGGGATCAGAGAGCCCATCTCCTGGGGATTCCTCAGACCCTGTTGAGGGTCACCAATCGGCAAACCATCCAGAAAGACAAGATGTTATCCTGTTTCATCTTGCTGATCAGCCAGTCCGCTCTTTTCTCAACTGGAATAGTTATGAGGAAATGATGACAGAAATAGCTCATCACTACAGTCGAAGACGGGAAGAGATTGAAGAGGCCTATGAGGTAGTGGTTTCACCACCAGATCTCGGAATTGAAGTTGTTCCAGTGATTGTGCATGTCGTTGGCGACATTCCTCCTGAAAGCAATGACAGGCTGGTTTTAGTCGACATAGAATATCACGCACATCGAATAGAAGGACATTTCCGCAGTGGCCCGACAGTTTCCCGTTCCGTCCAGCCGCTCCCAAGCACGGCATCTCGACATGACGTGCTCTATCGTAGCAATGTTGACAGGTATTGCCGTTTAGAGAATGGAAGGTGTCTTGTTTTTATTAATTCCAGAAGATGGCCTGACTATGACCTCGACAGGAAAGTCATTGCACACGGTGACTACATCAGGATCGCAGTGCCACCGTCAGACAGATTTGCTTGTTCCACAACTGCTATTTCTGATATGACTCAGCGAGGCTTTTCAGATCAACAAATCTTGGATGAGATTCACAATGAGGATGCAGCTTCTGGTTTTTCTCCAAGCCTGTTAGGTGAAGACGAAGTGAGAAGATTGGCAACAGATGCACATGCAGACACTGATGATTTTCTGTTGATGCAAAGATCTCTAGCTGACAATCACACAGATCCAAGGTTTGATGGAGGTCCAAGGTCCAGCAGTTCGGATTCAGATGAAGTTCTGCAAGATTGGTATGTTGACCTTCAGCGACTCGTCGAAGCTCACTTTCAGCAATGTGGAGAAACTCAACAGCAAGATTTCATGTTCTCAATCTACACGTGGTTCATTGATCAAGAAACGGCAAATCTTTGCCGAGAACCGAAAATAGCTATCCTAGGGGATGACCCTGCGGAATGGAGGGAAGATATCTTGCTGCCTTGGGAATATCATCTTGTTCCAGACAATTCAGTGCTCATTGATCTTGTGCAGCCTTTTGTACCGAGAGCCAGTGTTGAAGAACACATCGCTCATGTTATTATCACGCAGAGACCAGTCAACTTGCGTTCAGTCTTATTCTCTATGGAATTTGTTGACGAGGTTGAATCCAGCGTGATTGTAACTTTTGCAGCGGCAGTTCCAAACATTTGCAATGCTCGGACACTGGCGGATCATGTACCACTGTTTGATGCATTTTTTAGAAACAAAAGAAAGTGGGTATACCCCGAGGAGAGTGAAAATGATCCGACAATCAAAACAAAGTTTGGGCTCGGAATCCGTGCACAGATCTTTCCAACTGTACTTGACGATGCCAGCGACATTTCAGATGACAACAGCATGATTCAGAATCCGAGCTCTGGATGTTGTCTTGCGGCACGTTCATTCCATTCAACAAGCCGACAGCCACTTCGAGGCAACAATAATGGTCCCAAGCCGCACATTGCAAATTTCAGCCTCACAGAGGAGTTTATCAGGTATGTGCAAGCTGTGGGTTCACAAACTGCCCAGGATGATCCCTTCCCTGATTTACCTGAAGGGCTCAGTGATCAACCAGTTTGGGTTCAGGACCTGTGGGAAAAATGGGCTGAGACAGTTGCACAGAATGGTGGTGACCCACAGTCAGGTTTGCGTCTGGAGACGTGGTTTACCAACCCACGCAGATGGACCAGATGCGAGCATTCACGGGTTGTAGTGCTTTCTAGCAACTTTCAAATGTGGGAGCGAGAGCTCTTAGGGGCTTGGCATGACCGTGCTGAATTAGCATTGCCCACTCAATTTGCTATTGTTTTTCCTACGCCTGAGGATGTAGATCGCACAGTTCAAGAACAGCTTGTCATTGAACAACAATCAGAGCCATTCTCTAGAACTGTTGT